AGGTGAACTGAACTGTTAGTGGTAGGAAATAGTGCTCTATATTTGTCACAATGTACCAGCTCAGACCCAGAAGTCAACTGCTTGACATTCCAGAAAACATTCTCATGGCAGTGAGTTAAACTTCATGGAATGTCTTTTTCCAGTGGGTGATAAAGTTCTTTAGCAGTGGTTACCTTTTGTGGAAGAAAGTCTTGTTAAAAAGCACGTAGCCCCAGGAAGGCTTGGAGTTAGTGCTCTTGTATCTGAAGTAGACAACTGGTCTCCCAGTGTATCAGTATTCTGATTGTGTTCTGTGGTCTGCTCTCCACTGTCTTTAGCAATATGTTAGGCTCTCTTTAGTCTTCCAGCCTCCTCTCTTTCTAACTTCCCTCAGTTGATGACCTTACTTGTTATTTAATAAAAAAATAGAAGCATCAACTACCTTAACTTTCCACCACTCAACCCACAGGGACCCACCTCCACATCTATGCTATGCTGTTCTCAGTCCTTGCTTATTCCTTCCCTTTATGACCAGACTTCTCAGATGGACCTTTTCATGTTCTCTGTTTGCTTAACTGTTAGTTAGTCCTTTATCCCTCCAATCTACATTCTGTTGGCATGGCACTACAACAGCTCTTGCTGACATAATCAAAGATCCATTTTGTTGGTATTCTTTAGTCTCTTCAGCAAATGGATACCATGTTTTTATCTACAGTTCAGACTTTCATCTGGCCACAAGTATTACTTGTGTGAAATTTCCACTGGAATGTTTTGAAGCATCCTAGAGATCTATATATTGTTTATGGCACTTTCCTCTATTTTAGTCTTCAACTCTCAATCATCATACTCAATCATTACCAGCTCTAGTAGATTTGGCCACTTAAATGTTTATTGAATCTATTTACTTCCATCTCAGTCATCATGGGTTTGAATGTAAGACAACATCATCTTTTTCCATGATCACCACAGTGGCCTCTTACTTGGTTTTATCACTTCTAATCTTATCCTCCAATCAGTTACAATACAACCAGAGAGTCTTTCTCAAATGCAAACGTGATCATTTAAGTCCTTTTACTGACTTCCCATTAGCTTTATCACGGATAACATATTTCATATAGCCTTTGACTTCTGGGTCCCTGGCTACTTCTGCCCCCTCTATTATGCTGTTATTTCTCTTATTCGCTTATTGTTTATTGCTTCTTCTCACCACAAGTCCTTTGTGCATGAAGTTCCTCTCCAGTAATGACTTGCTTCCACCAAGTCTTCATCCAGATAATGCCTATGAATTATTAGATCTCAGCTCAGAGATCCCTTTTCTATGTTATCTTTTCTGATTTCTCAGCCCTCTACAAAGACATTATTAGGCCCATATATTATAAGATTTCATTGTGAATTATATACTTTTTCTTTCTAGCACCTGTTACTGTTTGTAATTTTTTTGTGTGAGTGTTTGATTAATGTCTGCCACTTTGTTAGAATACAAATCTTATGTGAAGGATAGCTATTTAGCTTGTCATTTTCTGCCCATTGTACCCAAGATCTGGTACATAGTAAGTGATGTTAATAAGTATTTGCCAAACATGTAAATAAATGTATTTTAGTAAATTTAGTCATCAATCATTCTAAAAGTAAGTACTCATCATTCCTATTTTATAAAAGTGAAAGTTGAGGCTCTAAAAGTAAGTAACTTGCCTGATACCACACAAGTTAACTAAATGGCCAACCTGGGAATCATTTTTGTATTATATTTTTATTATATAATTTTATAAAAATGGGTTTTAAAGGATCTTAATTAGATTTGGCATTTTGTTTCAGAATTTTACTGTGAAATTAAATAACTTCTTATTTGTGATTTTAGTCATGTCATGTAGGGCTTAACTGAAACAAAACAAAATGACACAAAAATACGCCCCATTTTAAACAAGCTGAGAATGTGCGAACATATTTTAGGTCATTAAAATAATTATATCCAAATATGCATGACAATGTTGTTAAAAAGGAGACTAGAAATTTATGTACAGTAAGATAAAGTAGAGATAAATAATTAGTGCAGTATGCAAAAATGAACATAAAGTAGAAAGAAGTAACTGACAAAGCTGTTCTTCTGTGTGATGATATCATGGGTAAATACCTTGAATTTCTTTTTCCCTTGTATTTTTCTGTACTTGCTCAATTTTCTATAGCAGTAAGGTATTATTTTTTAAAACATTCATGTTAAAGATATGTTTATTACAAAAACTCACCTTCTTATCTTAATCTTTATAAAATCTCTGTGATGATCTTTAGTCTGATTCTATTCTGGTGGCTCACCTGCTGTCAACTCTTTACTTTCTGATCAGTGATCATTAATTAATTACCTCTGCATTAAATTTTAAATAGTTATATTGGTCAAGGTATGTTTTATGATAACGTGGAGTCTAAAGGAATAAACAGATATTTATCATTTATTAGTAGGAAATAAGCCATCTACAAAGCACTACGTTTAAACATATCATTGATCTAAAATTTTAAAGATATTGCTTTGCATTATGCTTGCTAACTTGTATGGTTACTTCACATTTACTTCTCTATCTCCACTCCTCCCCATAAAAAGCAAACAAAGCATCCATGTAACTTCCTAGTTATCAATTGCTCATTGAGACACCTCAGCTCAAAATCATTTTTAACTCACCTACAGTTCTGTTGCAGATTCCCTTCCTGTAGTTTAAGAAACCTGGATTCATTTGTTTATCACATTATCTTTGTTTTTGCCCCTATGAACAAAGGTAAAAGCTTAAAATAGTTCACATGACCTTCTCTTAATAGCATTCCTTACCAAACCAAGCAGCAAGGAGAATCAAACAAAACTTTGTTACAGTCTTTACATGAGATCATTTTAGCCACAATTCTGTTATCAAGAAGTGATCATTTGACAGATTGCTTAGCATCTATCTATCATTTATTAATTGCCTAATGTTTTTCAAATATCATGTTAGACCTGGTAGAAATCCTAGGAGACAGAATAAATACTGACTCCCAGCACTGTACAGAAGAACTTTCTATGATGAGATGAATGTCCTGTATCCATGCTGTCTAATACAGTAGCTGCCAGTCACATGTTGCTATTGAATGCCTAACATTTAGCTATGTGACTATGGATATAAAGTAAGCTAATTTTAAAAATAACTTTATTGAGACAGAATTCAAATGCCATATAATTTCACCATTTAAAAGGTATAATACAATGATTTTTCATGTATGGGGTTTTGCAGCCATCACCACAATAAATTTTTGAACATTTTTATGACACTAACAAGAAACCTGGTACTCATTAGCACTCACACCCGATTCCCCCAACTTCTCCATTCCTATGCAGGCTTTAGCTTTTTTTTTTTTTTTCCTGTTTCCACTGATTTACCTATTTTAGATTTTTCATATGAACAGAATTACAATATGTGGCCTTTTTGTGATTGGCTAATTTGATTTTATTTCATGTAAATTGAAGAGCCACATGAGGCCAGTAATACCATAGCAAACAAGTGAAGTGAAAAGACCAAAGACAGATGCTTATGGAATGCTGTGGCTGAGGAGAAGGAAACCTGGCAGAAGGGGCATATGGAGAACAGGTCAGAGAGATAAATTGGAGCAGAGCCTGGAGATACAATGGTATCCTGAAAGAGGGATGGTTAATTGTAGCAGTTAATACAGAGGAGTCAAAGCAAGTTCACCTTCAGTACAATCCTAGGGAAAACCTCCTAGAGATAAAGGGCATTGCAATGTGGTGCTCCTGAGTGAGTGTGGGTAGGTGGCAGTTTTATGTCAATAAGTGGTAGAGGAAAGGAAGAAAAATTCAAGAAAGCTTGAAAATGGTGACAAAAATTTGATAGAAATTTTGTCTTGTTGCTGTTAATGATATTTTCAGTAAAGGCTTGAGCATACATATCAGCAGAAGGGATGGAATTGGTGCAATTAAGAGGCTATAAATGATCAGACAGATTCAGGAGGATGTGGGCAGAGGTAGCACCAAAATCATCAGCACAGGAGTTACCCCTGCCATGGCAGACAGAAGTCAGCCTTCTCAGAGGAAAGGGCAAGTAAAGAAAAAGGTGGAGATGCAAAGCGAGTTATGCATAGAAAGAAAGGAAATTCAAAGAACTGATTTACTTTGGGAAAGTAGGAATGAGGCTGTTTGAGAACAATATTTAGTTCCTCCAACTTCACTGTGATCATATATGAAGAGGGGAATGTACAAAAGAAATCAAGTGGCCTAAGGCTGTGGATGGTGGAGACACCAGCCACTTACAGGGTACTGCTGTCTGGATGAACTTGTCTCCAAAAGGAAGCAGCCATTTTCATGTACATGAAGCACACGAGGTCCAGAAGTTCACATATGGGATCCTCAGAAAGAAATGTAGCTCCAATATCTCACTTACCCTTTCTTCTTTTCTTCCTTCTTCTTTCCTTACTTCCCTCCTTTCTTTCATCCTTGCTTGTTTCTGTCTATTCTTACACTTTGTAACAAATAGTGTTTTTTTCCCTACAAAGAGAGAAAAAGTTGAAAAATTCTGTGTTAATTCATACTATATCGAATACAAAGTTTAGCATTATGAGTTAAAATAAGTAGTATTTCTTTTAATTTTTTCAACCTTTTTTCTAAGTTAGTATAAGAATTAGGAAGTAACAGGATTTGAAAATCCTGTTAAAAAAATACTATACAGATATATCAGAAAAAAATACTAATGTTTTACTATTAAATTAATTAACCGCCAGGCATGGTGGTGCACACCTGTAACCCCAGCACTCAGGAGGCTGAGGCAGGAGATGGTTGCAAGTTTGAGACCAGCCTGGGCTACAAAGTGAGCTCAAGGCAGGCCTGAACTGCATAGCAAGACCCTGTCTCAAAAAAAAAAAAAATTCATTAACAACATTTCTTTAAAACAAGCTTTCTGCGTAGATGTCTTAAAAATGAAAGCCAACTTCTTTGTGATCTCTTCAACATATAAAATTTATTTACATGTGTATTTTTTCTTTTTTTTTTTTAGGCTTTTAAAACCAAGGATGGCTATCTTGTGGTTGGAGCAGGAAATAACAAACAGTTTGTGACTGTGTGTAAGGTAATCCATAATTCCCCAAGGAGAATGGATGATATACACAATGATTCAATATGGAGAAAGTTAGGGACAGTTTAGTTTTGCCTATCACAATGCTGCTGACATGGGAGCCTCTGTGTTAGTGCTTAAGGTATGCCATTTTTAACTTATGAATGGTAAGGACTGGATTTAAATTAGCATTCATTATATGTTATCTAGTTGTATTTTAATGAGGAATTATAATAGCTTAAATTTTTATCAAACTTGACCTGTCTATTAAACAAAACACAAAGGGAAAGAAGGTAAAATTAATTTTAAAGGGATTTTTTAACAGTGGTATTTTCCTTATTCCTTTCTCTTTTTCTTTCTCCCTCCCTCCGTCCCCCACTTTCTTCCTTCCAGCTTTCCTCCTACCCCTCTTTATCCATAGTAGGTTTATATAGGCCCAAATAAACTCGAGCTGCTCCTGAATTGATTTTATTTAATGGTAGAAAAATTAAGGCTTTGTTTTCTCAAGTTAGCCTTTGTTTACTGAGTATGTTTCCACAAAATTTATGTTGAAAGAGTTTCACAATTAAGGGTATATGGAAAATGGTTGCTTCTCAACAAGACCTTTAAAAAAAGACCTTGGAATCATTTAAAATAGTTTATGTTACAAATTTTTAAAATTTTTATCATTGCCTAGACATACATTTTTATTACTTATCTATGCTTTTATTTTTATTTAGACCTTAGATATCAGCTTACTTTTCCCAGTTTTAGTCCCAGAAATATAACCTAGTTTTGAAAAATATATTTAATTTTTATATTTATTTTTTCCCATGTGTCGACAATTGCTTCACCTACGAGGATTTTTTTTTTTTTAAAATTGGGAGAGGATTTTATTAACCATGTGTACATGAGTTTTCAGTTTTATTAAAGATTCCTGTGAATTTCATAGGAGGATCTTATTATTGTTGTTAACTCACTATGTAGAAAAATTATTTATTACTGTACCTCCTTTGTAGGAGAGGTTAACGAGCAGAGCTAAAACCCACAGCAAAAGGGTGGAAAGGAGCACAGAGAAGGTGACAAATGGAGATAGTGCCTGTACAGGAAGGGCTGGCCCGTCTGAGGTGGGGAGGAGGCGAGCTTTTATAACAGTGACTCAGTAAGTGTAGAGAAAATTGATTCAAACATTTGATCTGGGATCAAAGAATCTTTATTATGAACGGTCAAAGTTAAAAATATGAAACATACGGAAGCCGTTGCCTGTGAAGTCATTTGCGTACTCTAACTGCAGAGATGTAAAAGCCAGTTCATTGCTCTAAACGAGTACAGATTTTCTTCCTGGACCATATGTTTTGGAGTTTTCTCTCTCTAGAAAAGAAAAAAAAAAAAGTGGGGGTAGGGATTACTGGTTGACATGTTCTTCACTATTGAAAATAACTGTACTGAACTCTTTTTAGTTTTGATTCATTACTGCCAATCAATTTGAAACTTTTGAACTTCTTCATAAATATCCTTAAGAACACATTTTGAAAAGGATTTCTATTTCAAAGTAGAATATTTGCCATAAGTTTTAGTACTAAACTACCACTTATTGCTATGGTGTATTCTTACACATATTCTTTTAGGGAGACTAACAGAATGCCTTGCAGAATGGCAAATGGGACCTTGATTTTCCCATATGTGAGTTAGGAATGATAATCCCCATTCTGAGCCACTAAGGCAACGTCTATAAAACTCTTTGAGATGCTCAGAAGAAAAGTTTTATGTGTACAAGGTTTGAGTGTCATGAACATCATTTCCCAGGCATCCTGAGTGAATGCCGCAATCTGATTGGTCTTTTCAATGCTCATGATTATATCCTTACTAAAATCCTTCTCACCTAGGAAAGAAATCATTTGTTTCCCTATTCTGATACAAAGTTCTGTTTCCCTCCCAGTCACATATAGAGAACTATTTCTTGTGTTTTTCATTTAAATTTATTTGCTAATGATGGGCTCATTATTCAAACTGGCTTTTTAGAAGGTGTGGTCTTCAATATTTTTTTTTTTTTTATCATGGATCTGTCAAAGTTGTTCTTTTGCAAATAAGATCCATTAGGAAAGAAGAGAGAGCTCTACCTCCTGAGAAGAAGTGTACCAGTATTGCTTGTGATGTATGAATGGGATTTACTTCTTCCTTCTCTTTCCAAAGTGGAACTTGATATAGGGGTTGATTAATACATTTTGAGGAGGGGGCTTGTTAGGGAGTGCTCATTGTCAGAGGCTGAATTAGGAGCAAGAATGTTGGGTTTAGGGCTTGGGTCAGAAAAATCTTGCTGTGTATAAAGTGAACCTTGGTTTATAACAAACCTACTTTATGTCCTTCAACATCATACAGAAGGGTATGGAAAGTGAGCATATGTAAGCTATTTTAAGCTGATTGATGCCAACACTAATGGGTATTTCTATTTGAAGTATATTGACATCCTTTTCAAAGTTATTTAGACGGAATACTTCTTTTATTGGAGGCAGTATGCATTAGTTCTCAAGTTTAGCAAAGCATAAGAATCTTCTGGAGTCCCATTCTCAAGGATATGATTTACTGTGTCTAAGGTGGGGTTCAGGAAGCTTCAATTTTAATAAGCATATATTTGATTTTGGAGCAGGTAGTCTGAGGACATTATAGCATAATTCTTAAGGTCTCCTGTGAGTCTTTTCTCTAGACAGGTAACCTCCAAAGTATTTAGTCTTTGTTAGGCATCTGTTTTCTCATGTGTAAAACATAGATTATAATATAGAACTATGCTAAAATGTAACTTGTGGGATTTTATAAGCATTCAGTTAGATAAGTGAAGTACTTAGTATAGTCCTGGCTCATAGCATGTACTTAATAGATAGCCTCTACAAAATTTCGGCAGGGAGACTGGTTCTGGGGCAGTCCCAGTAAGCACACCGTTCCCTAACTCTTCCATACAGCATGATATGCATAGAGTACTTGGGCAGTTAGGCGTAAGGTATCTGTTTGAGGATGTTGAGAAGTAAACAGTTGGCGAATTGTGGGAGGACAGCAGAATAGGAAGTAATTGTATACCAGTGTTCAACCTACAAGTTTTTCTCTTTAGTTACTCTATTACCTGAATATAGTAAAGCAAGCAACCTGGAAGTTGGACAGCAGGCAATAGACCTGAGCTGGAGTGATTTTTTAAAAATTTCTGATACAAGGAGCATGAAAAGTGAAATCTAACGTCAGAGCATAGTAACTCTACATTTCCCATCCTTCCTCCTTTCTGTGTCTCCTCCCGCAAGAGCTCCTATAGCAGCAATCCAGGAACAGGAGCCAAGCTCTGAGGAAGGGAAATTTCTTCTTCGTGGCTGAGCTGAGGTCCCAAGGAAAGGAGTGAATCCCTGTTGCCTTTTTCTGTCTTCCTCCTTGTCGGCTTGATCCTTGCAAGTGTACCAGAGAATGGGATAACTAAAGTGGAGTCACAAGGAACCGGAGAGCCCTAGAGAGATTGCAGAGAGGGAAGAGCTTTGCAAAACAGTCCTTGAAGTTGCTTAGGAACTCCTGGGCTCACGCCTAAGCTTCACATACCCTGATCTGATTCTAATTAGCATCCCAAACATGTTGAGTTAACAAATTAACTGAGTTGAATTAATGAGTGCATAACCGCCTAGCTTATAGTAGGACTATTAAATGAGTCACGTGCCAGACAGATTCAAAGAGCATTGCAGAACCTGGTGAAACCAAACCAACAGAACTAAAGCTCACAGAAAGGTAGGTTAGAACTTGCATGTTGGATCTAATCAGCCAACTGTCTGCTAAAACAATAACATCAAAAATTTTCTGTAGGATTTAAACAAGATCCAGAGGCTCCTAATACAGTATTCAAAATGTCCAGGATACAACACAAAATTACTCAGCATATTAAGAACCAGAACTTGAACGAGAATAGACAATTAATAAAAACCAAGGCCAAGACAACACAGATGTTGGAATAAACTCATAAAAACTTTAAAACTGCTATTGTAAAAATGCTTTAACAAGCATTACAGATACTGTTGAAATAAATGGAAGAGTGGAAATATTTAGCAAAGAAATAGAAATTATGAAGAGGAACCCAATAGAAGTTTTAGAACTGAAAAATACAATAACCAAGAAAAAAAATAATATCTCCCAGGATGTGCCCAGTCGTGCAGTGCAGATAACAGAGGAATTAAGCCATATCTTGAAAGCTAGATCAATAAAAAGCAGTCTGGACAACAGAGAGAGAAAAAGCCCTGTTTTACACACAGAAAAGGAAAGAACAAGATCCTCAGGGACTTGTGGTACATTAACAAAAATCCAGTACTCATGTCATTGTGGTCTCAGAAAGAGAAGAGAAAAATTACATACTGAAAAATAGTTGAAGAAATAGTAGCCAAGAATATCCAAACTGAGTGAAAGACAAAAGCCCACAGATTCAATAATTTCAGCAAAACCCCAAGTGGGATAAACCGAAGAAAGTCTATGCTCAAATATATAAAAATCTAAATGCTGAAACTTAAGACTAACAAAAAAATCTTGGAAACACCCAGGGAAAAATTGTGTATTACTTATGAGGGATAATGAACCAATTGACTGCAGATTTTTCATCAAGAGTTAGGAAGTGGCACAGCACTTTTAAAAGACAGAAAAGAAAGGACTGACAGCCCTGATGTGAATGTCCTCAAGAAATGAAGGGTAGACAAAGGCAATTTCATCTATAGAAAAACTCAGAGAATTTGAAGCCAGCTCATCTACTGTAATAGAATTATTAAAGGAAGTTCTTCATTTACAGAAGCTAAATGGGATCAGAAGGAAACTAGGAGCATTGGGAATGAAGGAAGAGCAACCAAAGTAGCAATGTGTGTATGGATTTAATACACTAGTCTTTTTCTTGTGTATTCTGAAATATGTTTGATGGATGAAGGCAAACAGTAATATATTGTCTAATGGGATTTTCAGTGTGCATAGCTTCAGTCGACAGAAAAAAATAGGTAAGAGAATGGACCTATACTGTGGTGTTGTCAGTATTCCATTTGAAGTGGAAAATATTGATTCAATGTACATTGTAAAAAGTATATATATTATATAATCTCTAACAGAGCCAACAAACCATCTACCTATAAAAAATAGCCAAAGTAAAAATTGATAAATGTAACACTAAAAACTTTCTTTTTTTTTTTTTTTGTATTTTTGTTTTTTTGTCTTTTTGAGATAGGGTCTCGCTATGCAGTTCAGGCTGGCCTTGAGCTCACTTTGTAGCCCAGGCTGGTCTCAAACTCACAACGATCCTCCTGCCTCAGCCTCCCAAGTGCTGGGATTACAGGCGTGCACCACCACCCCTGGCTAAAAGTTTTCAACAAACCCCAAAAGGGAGGAGAGGGAAGACAAAAGAATAAAGAATAATATAGATAGAATTAAATAATAAACTAAAAATATCAAGATAACATTAAGTATGAATGGCCTAATCACACCAATTTAAAGACAGACATAGTCAGAAAAGATAGAGGAAAAAACCCCAAAATGATCAACAACAAGAACAAGAAAACCAACCCATGATTCAGTAAATTCACTTCAAATATGATATTGGTAAACTAAAAAAGATGATAAAAGACATAAAACAAATCTAAGATATATATGCTAATTACAAGAAAACTGGAGTGGGGGGATATTAATGTGGACTAATTGTTGTCATCTCAGAAAACTTGTTTCCAACAAATGCTTGTAATTTATCCCATACTTGCACTCGCAGAAGGGAGTTTGAGTGGTCTCTGTTTTCTGAGAATTTGGGAAATCCCACATTTCATAAAGGATGTTTACTTTTCCCTATGTCTAAAAGCTGGATTCCAATAGTTCTTATAACTGATACTCTGTTTCTATGCCTTCCTGTATATAAAGTGTCCTTTTATTTCAGTTCTGAAGCATGATTAGCTTTGAACTATAATATATTGTGTATTATATTTGATAGCACTATAAATGACAATAGAATTTAACATGTATCAATAATGCACATAAAGTGATGGCCATACACATGAGCGCTGTGACCTACAGGCAGTGACAACAGCTGCAATTTCCTCCCTTCTTTTCAGAGGCCATAGATTGTAAGAAGCATCTGCATAAAAAGTGGTTTTAGACTTGGTAGGATAAGGTCTATGCATTCAATAATGTCCGGAATATCACACACCTCAAAGTGTTCACATTGTTCATCTGTGAATCAGTCAGTCAGTTGGCAGACAAATATGTTATCAGCTTTTGAGATATACCTATGAACAAAACATTTAAGATTCTCCAACCTTGTGAAGCTTACATTCTATCAGGGCAGACAGATGATGTATAATAACCTTAATAAATAGGTTACAGGAAAAAGAAGGACAAGGGAAGAGGGGATCCAGGGGAGCAGGAATAGGGTGGGAATGGCTGTGGTGGGTTAGGACAGTCAGGATAGTCCCTTTAAAATGTTAACATTGGAGCCAACTTAACAAAGGGAAGGAGTTAGCCAACATGATGTCTGGTGGAAGATGTTGCATACAAGGAAATATCTGGTGCAGAAATCCTGAGGCTGAGGCATGAGAAAATGTTCTGGTCTCAGAAAGAAGCCAATATGACCGCAGCAAGAGTAAAGGGAGAGAGCATGCTAGGAGGTGATGCTAGAGAGGGAACAGGCCATGTATGGAGCCTTTTAGGCTATCATAAGAGGCTTGGGCTTTGCTATAGGAGGCATCATAAGCTAAAAGTATGAAAATACTCTGTCACTTCTGTTATCAAGTCTCTTTACTATCCATGGAGCCATCCTCCCTTTTCTTCTCTCCCCCTTTCTTCTTTGAACAAACATATGCTTTACTTTTCCTTTTGGGGGAAATCGTGCCTAGTTGGAACGCTTCACACTTATTTAGTGATTCATGTTCAAGCACATTCGTGTATCCCAGGCAGCACTGTCTTTCAAGTACCCAAAGAATGGTTACATTCCCAGCCTTTAAAGTTGTGTCTTCTCTTTGGAAACATTTGGAACCTTAGCCCATAGAGCAGAAGATAGAGAGATATTGTAATTAGTCTTACCTACTGTTTTGCACCAACTCTGCAAAGAGAAAAGAGGTCCCATAAGTCAAATACAGAGGATACATGGGCATTCCAGTCCCCCCGAGAATAGTCACTCTGCTCTTTCTTACGTTTCTGATGTTGTATTCTGGGTGAGGCCAGACTTATAAATTTTACCTGTGATTTAGTAAAGGCACTTAGTTTTTCTTGGAATGACTTCTGCACTCTTACGGAGAGGGAGAATTTCTGACTGCTGGACAAGACGTGAGGCCAATTCTGGGATCAGGTGTGGTGACAGGTTTCTAGGAAGAGCACTGTATATGGCATCGCTTTTTAAAATCTGAGAGAGGAATGCTGTCATTATTATTCCTAAAGGAAACGAGTAAGTGGAAAACGTGGAAGAGGGATTACACCACTGAGATGGCTTCTTTACTCCAGGGAATCTTCCTCACTTCTCTCTCCTTTGTAAGATGATTAATAGATTGATTTTATTTAAAATGAGGAAACAAATCAAACCATTAAATGTTTATATTGAAAGCAAATACATTAATAAAGGTAGCGAAGCTTTCTGTAGGCCACATGGCCTGCCCCTCAGCCCATAAATGCTCCTTCTGACTTTCCAACACAACTGCCAAACACTGCCTCCACACATTCTTTTCAAAACTTCTTTTCCATTCCAAATCCACTTGGTACTTTCATTACAGTCTTGTTAAAATTGCAAGATGTCCAGAGGGATTTGCAGGATAAATTTTTCCCTTTAGTGAGGATCAGCAAAAGAGGAAGTATATAAAAGCATTTGAAGCCCGTATTCCTTCAGGGAAACATACTAAACAAAAATAGTGACACTCCTATAGGAAGATCTTTTAATTTGACATTGTTTTAATGGTTAGCATTTGGGCAATGTATATGGTTCCTTTTTATTTTAGTACCTTGTAGAACATCCTGAATAGGACTACTGGGACAGATAATATTATTTTATTTACATGTGGAACAAATAAGTGAATGTAACTATGAGATATATGTTGGTCGTTGGCTTCATGTAAGTGCAGCCATGAATTTATGATGTAAGTTCTTAGAAACAGGTTCATTTTATCTGATTTTAAATCTCTCTTCTTACTTCCTCTAGGTAAGGCTTTTTTTATGGGATCTGGTACCTCTTTTATTCTCATATAGGGGTATAAGACATTATGGATAACATTTTTTGTGCTTCCCTATGTAGGAATATATATTTAAATGTAGTAAAACTCTCTTGTAAATGACAAACCCATTCACCAGCATGATCCATCTGACTTGTGTTTGTTCTCTCCCTATCTCCAGACTGAGAGATAAAGAGATTATAAAGGAATGGTTTTGGGAATGGAGTGATAGGATCTGAATGATAGGACCCCCTAGGACTTGCAGGTACACAAGATATCATGAATTTTTTTTATAATTATTTTTTCCTTTTAGGTTTTAAACTTGCCTGAGTTGATTGATGATTCCAAGTATAAAACCAACCATCTTCGGGTACAGAATAGAAAGGAGCTTATTAAAATACTGTCTGCACGGTAAGCTTGGATTAATGTACATTTAAGAATTATTATGTGATATGGTAACCATTTAACTAGTGTTTTGTATTTTTTTTTCTTTTTTGGCTCATTTACGGTAGTTTGTAAAATTCTCTTCAGTTTCCCAAAACTGTATAATGGAAAGATATTTTTAAACTATTTGTTGTTGTTGTTCAAAAACACTTGAAAGCATTTAAATGTTTTATTAAGTACTGAGTCATAACAATAATATAAATAGGAGAGTCAAAATGTCGTAAATTGGGTTGCTTATCTGTGGCCTGTAGCTGTTTGGATTTAGTGTATTGTAAGTAGTAATAACAACAATAGCCACAATTATATTTAACATTATTTTGTAATTTTATTGTGACAAGTGCTCTGCACACATTGTTCTGTGTAACCCTTATAGTCACCTTGTGAGACAAGATCTTTTATTCCCATCTTGTAGGTAAGAAAATGAAGGCAAAAAGCTCAAGAGTTTATTAGCTTTTCTGAGCCTCTTGTGGGAATCACGATTTATGGGTCATGTTAATTAACTAGAATGTTTGATTTTGAAAGTATTCTTTCATGTCAGATTGTGCTTTTGTAAAACATACACTAGTTTTTCAACTTTGCCCCCCAAAAAAAGAAACTCCGCAAGTAATAATCTGCCTCTTTCACATCAGTCTCACTTTTGTTTGCTTCTAATAATAGCCTTTGTGAGTTTCATGGATCTAAATTCCCACATGAGCAGTTCTTCAGGATGGAAGATTTGTTCTAATTATGCTAATAATTTAAGTACTTTTGTTCGGATACTACAGCTAGTCTTTTGAAAAGGTCCGTATATTGCTATGTACTATATACAAGAGCTCTTAAAAAAATAAAATTCTACTGTTACTTTTATTTCTGTTCCCTTTCTATTTTTCAGCCCCTACACTAAATTCTGAGTTAATATTCATTTACCTGTTTGCCTTCCTGGATTTTAAGCACTCCTTCTATTCACTGTCTGTATCTCCATCATTTGCCAAATGTTTTTCATGTCAATGGAGCTCTGTGTGTGGAACTGATACGCACAGACCAGCGAAATGAGAATTGGGTGCCCCTTTCCTGGTCATTAGTTAAGTATAACTTGGAGTCTACTGCAAAGCCCCAGAGCCCTCAGTGATTAACCTTTCTCTACATGAGAATTGGCCATTTATTTCAGCTTTTTGCCTCTTAACCTCTCAAGCATTTTTAATCCATTTAATTCATTGATATGACTTTTTCCTTTCACACCATGGTTACCAAGTTTCAATAATAGCCACTTGTGAGAACCTTATCAAAAGCTCTTTGATAGTCCAAATAAATCATGTCCATGCTGTGAGAAGATCCCAAGGAAAATATAAAACCTAGGCAGATAGAAGCATCATCCTATTATTTAGTTGCCAGCACTTTGATGGCTTCAAGAACTGTGCACTGAGTCATGAGTTTCCTCTGTCCTAAAACTTTTATTTCTTGCTAAATTCTGTTATGGAATTCTACTGTGAAAAGACTTTTTGCAGAATCTGTAACAGATTAATTGTTATTTTTCCTCTTTGGGGGTGAGTTAAATAATCTGTCACCTTCTTTCTCCTTTCATATACATATATCCTAGAGTTGGGTGTCTCAGCATTTTGGAACTCCTGAGGTTGTTATGTTTCTATATTGAGACTCAAGAAAGAATACAGAATCACACAACACGGAAGAGACTAGGGGGTCTTCTGAAGAAAGGAAATTTGATCGGGGCAATCCCAGCATCAAAGTTGCTGCTGTTACACACAGACCAGATGGCAGCGAGAGCTGTGGGCCATGTGAAGGCCGGCCTTTCTACTCTCTTCTCTACACGGTGAATCTTTGGTGCTCTTTGTGACTTGCGGTTCTCCAGGTCTCTTCAAGCTCAAGCATCTCCTCTATTGTGGATCAAGCAGTGATGATCAGAGGAAATTAGGGCATTAATTCATTTCCATTTCGTACTTCATTGTGTGTTTTTCTGAACAGACATCACTGAGTCCATTCATACAATTTAGTGCTTGGCTTTCAGAAGTCTCTGCTATACTGCGAAATTTATGATTTTCATTGTATGATTTTGTCTTTTTTTTAGTGTTCAAAAACTTTAGTGACTTTCCGTGAATTACAAGGCTAAATCCAGTCTCTTCAGTCTGACAGCACCTGTCTTCCACAGTCTTGACGTTAGCTTTCCTGTTGACCTCTCCTCATCTGCTTCAGCAGAAAGTCCCTGCTCCAGCCACACTCCCATTTGGTTTCTTTGGTTTTTCTCTCTGGAATGTTTCCCATCCTCAGTGTTATCTTGAATACAATTAAGCCTACAGTGGCAGTTCTGCATCTCTGGGGAGCCACCGGGTCTAATATCTCTGTCTGCTTCCCCGTCACAGGACTGCACCTTCAGGAAAGAAGGTGTTCTTTCTGTGCCTCAGGTCCAGCCTATCAGTTATGGAACAAACACAATCACTGTTAGTTTTCCTGAGGGTGGTGTTGCTCAGGAGCCTTCTCTGCTCAACTTTCTAGTCTTGCTCTTCATGTTTTTTGAGTACAGCCATCTCAGAACTTGTCAATCACTTTGAGTTGATTTTATAACAACAGAGCCACATTCACTCCCAACCACAAGGAGGCAAGGAGAAAGGAAGGAGAGGAACCAGTATAAATTCAGGCCAGATAAATGTTACTATCATTATTTGCACTTTGCAGATGAGAATTCTGAAATTTAGGGAGGTTAGTCTCAAGGTCAAGCACATAGGGAATAGTTAGAAATGAGATTTGAAAGCCCACCCCTTTTCCACGTATATTACCTCCCTGAAGTGGCACACAACCTGTGCCTGTGTACTTGTTTGTTTAGTCACTCAGTAAATCTTTATTGAGCACTTACTATATGGTAGGCAGTGTCACAAACACTGGAAATAGAGAAGTGAAGAAAACAAAGTAAACTGTTGAAAAGTAGTTCAGGGAAGGGAACAGAAGAGTGTCAGAAGTTGGCGTGCAAATGGTTCTCTCATTCAGGTAGACCAGGAGAGCCTGTCTGATAGAGGGGCATTCGAGCAGAGGTGTACCAGAAAGGAGAAGGAGGTTGGCAGGCACATGGCAGAAGCATTTAAGGGGGGGGTGCATGGTGGGGAGTTTAAGGTGCAGCACAGAAGACAGTGCTGGAGCTGGGGGAGCAAGGGGAAGGGCAAGGACGGTTCAGGAAGAGTGTGGAGGGGGCAAGTAGATGAGCTTGTGAAGGTTAAGAGAGCTTTTGTGACAAAGCAGGTGAATAATCTTGTGAAAGAAAGTAATTTTTGGTCATAAAATAGGTTTGCTTCCCAGAAGCTTCTATTTTCATTCTAACATGAAGAGATATTTTAAAGGGGAAAAACTCTACCTCAGTGGTGATGAACCTATGGCACTCATGTCATCGCGGGCTGTTTGTACCATTGAAAACTCTAAAAGGTTTGCCATCACTGCCCTACCTGACAGTTCTAAGTACTCCAACAACAGGGCATCAGAAAGACCCCCTTTGTTCCTTGGAAAGACCTGAGGAGCTCATGAGATTCGGTGGTGTATGCTTTTTATTCATTTATTAACTAATTTATTTATTTATTTAACACATATTTACCAAATACCTAGTGTATTCCAGGGACTGTTCTGAATGTTAGGAATATGGGATTAAAAATAGACAAAAATGCTTACCTCTTGGATGCTTTTGGGGGCGGGTAGTGGAGATTGAACCTAGGGGTGTGCTGCTGTTGGCATGCATCCTCAGCCTTGAACTCCTCACCCTCCTCGCTCAGCTCACCAAGTAGCTGGGATCACAAGGCATGAACTATCCTACCCAATGTGTGCTGGACTTGTATCAGGGTAACCCTAGCAGACTTGCGAGTAGACAGGATTCCTTTGGTTGTTTTGAAATGTTCTGTAACAACACTTGTTTTGATGAGCCGAGGAAGTTGGTTTACTATATTCTCCCATAACCTTTAAAACATTTTAAAAAAAGTATTGCAGCTACAGGCTGTGCCTGTTAATCATTTGTTTTCTGGTTTTTTATTTTTATTTTTTTTGAGTGTATACATACATACTACAACTTTTTCTGGTGTGGTTTGCCAATCACTTCTATAATGAAAGCATATTTTTAGTAACAGTAGCTACATTACCATGTGAGTATAGCATATTTTTGTCTGTTGTCTGCTATTAAACATTACATCATAAGCACTTTTCTTCGAAGCTCATATACTTTCCTTAGTCTTTATTTTTATTTTAGAAAATCTTTAAAATCTGTAAAAATGTAGAAGGATCTGTGAGAATGAATTAGCAGTACAGATAACTTTAAAAATAAACTATCGGATGGAGTCACTGTATTCATTAAAGCAAAACAAAACTTCTTTCCCCATACACCCAATTTGATACCCCAAACTGAAAACTGAAGTATTTATAGAATTTTACAAAGTCTGCACTCCTAAATAGACACATGGATTTCCTCTTGTGTCTCAAAGTCTTCATTCCAAGTGTTTTTCCTGAGCAATTTGAGTAATTCCATCCCTGCCCATGGTTAAATGTTCATTTAAGTTTTTCAAATCAGGTGTTTTCTTTGCATGCTATAAAATTCACAGACTTTTAGAAAGTGCCGATCAGATACGTCTGTCACTTGTCTCACTTGCCTGGTGTTTTTGCTGAGTACAGTTTGAGCCCACTCTCCAGAGCACAGGCCTTGGTCAGGACGGCAGCTGCCTGTTTTGGTCATCAGCTCTGCATTTTCCCCAGCCAGCACACACAATTCCCCTCCAGTGCTCTCAGGTGCTATTCTCTAAGCCCTGTGAGCAAGTCCTTTTTTTTTTTTTTTTTTCTTTTAGTTTTAGCACAGAAGACTTTCCCCTTGAGCTTGCCATTTTATCCAGAGTGTTGCAGAAAGTCTGTTTACCCAGCTGCTAATACTGTGAACTAGGAAACCTAAAGCATACTAAAGATCCCTAGCTAGGACATGGGAGAAGAGAAATCACAAGACTAACTCAGGGTCT